GGTACTTCATATCTTCTGCAACTCTCGCATTTACGCTCGTAACAATTAAACCCATTCTCTTAAGCGACCCAAATTAATTTCAACACATATATTTCACTTGAAAATGGGATCTTCTAACAGATAACATAAGGATCACACAACTCCAGAACACTTCGCAGGAGATAACCCACCTGCTTCGCCTTAACCCAACATTTATGTATACCTTCCATTGTCATAACCATTACGCAGTTACTTAGTCTTCCTGAGTCTGAACTCATACCGCAACATGAGTTTTTACTTCACTCCCAACTAGAAAACATGAAAGGATTCATCACACACCCCTAACTCGGGGTTATACCTCAAATCAAGATGGAAATCGAGCACCTAACAGTTCTTATATCCTCCAGCAGACCCTTCTCGTCGCTTCCAAATCATAAGAATGCATCTCGCAGTCACATCACCCTCATCACATAACTATCCAGTCATTACTCCCCTTAATAGGGACACAACAGAATTTGTAGATCTAGAAACACGTGCTCACATAATCAGCACCTCGGTGCTCAAGCTATAGGAAAAAAAAAATCCGGCCTCGAGTCCTCCAAACTGGCCCAACATCAGCACATAGAGATCACATCTCGCCCCTCAATCAGGGAATCACAAGCCATCGATGCACATCTGATACTGAGTGCTCGTTCGCGTATACGAATGCGTGGAAGGAATTTCAGGAGTTACTTTTCAAGCTGAATCAAGGACGCTCGATAAGAATTCAAGAATGTGAAGTTTTCCTAAAGGTTCTGCAGCCTCTCGAGGATAAATACAGACGTCTCCGTACCGATCCGCGAGACTCTACTAAACCTGATCATGACTCGTGAGACCTATGTAACCTAGGCTCTGATACCAACTTGTCACGACCCTAAACCCAGACCCGGTCGTGATGGCGCCTCTCGTGAAGACAAGGCCAGCCGACACATTTCCAATTCGAATCTAAACAGCAATAAAATAGGCTAAAACATGACTAAATAATACTAAGTAGCAGATGATATCATAACAATGCGGAAGTACAACCCAAACACAGCCCAAACCGGGGTGTCACTAGTCATGAGCATCTACTAAGGTCCAAATACAACTGACAAAGTCTGAAATGTACTAAGTACAGTCTAATAGTATAGAGAGGGAGAAAAGCAGTGCTGCGAGCGTCGGCAGCTACCTTGCTAAACTCCGATAATTCTGCCTCCGATCAACCAATACCCGCTACCGGGTCCAGAAAAATACCTGAATCTGCACACAAGGTGCAGGGAGTAAAGTGAGTACTCCAACTCAGTGAGTAATAATCATAAATAAAGACTGAGCGATAAGAAATCACGAAAAGTGCATCAACATGTTGTATATAAGTAGTACAAAACCAGTAAGAAAGCAATGAAGCTGTAAAATCCCTTAAAACATCTTAGCTCAGTTTGAACTTCTTTGAAAATGACTTTTTCAACAGTTACGCAAATGAATGCAGAACAACTAGTGCGGATAAGCACAGAAATCCGCCCCTCGGGCACAAATACACAATTAAACAGGTAAATGACAGGCAAATAAGAAAGATAAGCATATAAGGTTCGCCCCTCGGGCACAATGTCAACAAATCTGCCCCTCGGACAATATCTCAGAACAGTACCAGCCCCTCAGGCAATCACATGGAACAATACCAGCCCCTCGGGCAAACACAAAGAACAATACCAGCCCCTCGGGCAATCACATAGAACAATACTAGCCCCTCGGGCTATATCTCACATCACAATGGGTACCCGCGCTCACTGGGGGTGTGCAGATTCCTGGAGGGGGCCCTTATGGCCCAAGCGCAATAACAGGCCATCTCGTGGCATCAAATCTAGTCCCTCGGCCTCATATCAATCAAGCCACCTCGTGGCGTACATATCTCAAGCCCTCGGCCTCAAATCAGTATCAAGTGTTCCCCACAACATAGGCCCTCGGCCTTACCCAGTCAAAAATCCTCACAAGCCCCTCGGGCAATAGTAAAACAGTATTTCTCAGCCCAACATCATTTAAAAATATCATTTAAGTCTCAAAACTGAGTAAAAATGGCAGAGTAGTAAAACAGTGGAAAAATAACATGACTGAGTTCAAGTAGTAAGTCAAAACAGTGAGGAAATATCAATAAAAAGCCCGAAGGGTTCAAATAGTTGGCACGAAGCCCAAATATGGCATTCAGCCCAAATCATAATGATAGCAAATAAGTTTCAGTCAAATACGTGGTAGAATCATCAATCGGGACGGACCAAGTCACAATCTCCAATAGTGTTCGACCCCACGCCCGTCAACAAGCGTGTGCCTCACCTCAATATAGCACTACGATGTGCAATCCGGGGTTTCAAACCCTCAGAACATCATTTACAATCATTACTCACCTCGATCCGGTCCAAACTCTAGCCCGCGATGCCTCGCCCGCACTAATCGACCTCCGGATGCTCCGAATCTAGCCACAATTAGTACATAATCACTAAAATATGCTAAGGGAACGAAGCCCACTCGAAAATATCCAATTTAACATCAAAATCCCGAAATTGCTCAAACCCGGCCCCCGGGCCCAGGTCTCGAAATCCGATAAAATTAACATCAATGTAATCCTCATCCTCTCACGAGTTCATACATATCAAGAACATCAAAATCGGACCTCAAATGACCCCTCAAATCCCCACTCAAAAGTCTTTTAAATCTCAAGCCCTAGTTACCCATTTTTGCTACTGATTTTCCATGGATTTCAAGCTTACAAATGTTAAAATTCATCATAGAAATAAGTTTAGGGTCCAAAAATCTTACCTCCATGAAATCCTCTTGAATTCCCTCTTCAATTAGCTCTCCCAAGCTTTCTCCCGGATGAAATATGGTGAAAACCCTCTCAAAATCGCGAAGGGTGAAATATATGCATTCTGACCCAGGCATTTTTGCATCTGCGGTCAATCCACCGCATCTGCGGTACCGCTTTTGTGGTCCAAGAGCCGCTTCTGCGGTTCTTCACTTAAACTGCCCAATCCGCATCTGCGATGAAGTAGCCGCACCTGCGCCTCCGCAGATGCGGTCCCACAACCGCTTCTGCGGTTCCTGCCAACCTCACCAACTTTCGCTTCTGCGACCAATTCTCCGCATATGCGGCGTCGCACCTGCGGTCCCCAATCCGCAGGTGCGGAAATACTAGAAGCAGAAAATCTGCAGCTGCAACAAGGTTCCAAACTTCTCCGAAATCATTCCGAGGCCCCCGGGACCTCAACCAAAAACAACAAACATATTCTAATACCTTATTCAAACTTGTTCCAATCATCGAAACACCTCAAACAACATCAAATCACCCAAAACACATCGGATTCAAGCCAAACTTTCTAAAATCTTCCGAATTTCGCTTTTGATCAAAAATCCAACCAAACCACGTCCGAATAATCTGAAATTCTGCACACACATCCCAAATGACACAACGAAGCTACTGCCACTCTCGGAATTCCATTCCGACCCTTATATCAAAATCTCGCCTACCAACCGGAAATCGCCAGAATCTCAATTTCGCCAATTCAAGCCTAAACCTTCCACGGACTTCCAAAATGTATCCCGATCACGCTCCTAAGTCCCAAATCACCTAACGGAGCTAACCAAATCATAAAAATTCCGATCCGAGATCATATACAAGCAAGTCAAATGTTGGTCAAACCTTTCAAATTTCAAGCTTCAAACTAGGAACTGTTCTTCCAAATTCATTCCGATTACCCTGAAAACCAAAACCAACGATTTACATGAGTCGTAATACATCACACGGGGCAAGTCATGCTCGGGAACTGACGAACAAAGTGTAAAAGCTCAAAACGACCGTTCGGGTCGTTACATGTAATGGCATATTTGGTTATTTCGTTTAGTTTTTTGGTTTTTTTTCAAATCAGAATTCCATCTTAGATTTATGCATTTTTTTGTGAAGTTTGTTGGGTCTCGATCTTGTTAGTGGTCCACCAGTGTATTTCTGAATATTATAAGGTATTGTAGGGACGAAAAAGAAATCTTGGAAGCTTTTTTACTTAAAAAAACTATCTTTTTTGTTGGTTTATTTTTGGAGTTGTGTAAAGGTGCAACTTTTAACAACAAACAGTCATTGATAACACTTTTTTTTTGTTACCTTGCAGGTATGATAAGAAAATAGTTTCAAGCCTAGTTAACCTACAAATACAACACAGTGGTAATTTTCTATCGGACCCTGAGCTAAGGTACGCAAATGGACTAACTTGTCCTCAATTAGCTACTGTTAATGTTGATGAGCTGCATATTATGTTGTTTCACAAGTTTGCTAGGGATTTAGGATTTTTAGAAATTGATTTGTTTGGATTCAAGGTTAACAAAAGTGGTGGCTATTACATTTTAAAAACAGATGTTGATGTGTAAAGTTTCTTAATACATTAAAAGGTGGTGACTTTGTTGATGTTTGTATTGTCCATGTAATTAGTAATATTCAACAATGGAGAATAAGGTAGAAAGAAGAAGATGGTTGTTAAATAGGCCACATTATTACCGTTAGGGCTTTTTCAATTGCCCTCACGCCCCTTACAGGCATGTGAATCACGCACTAAAGTCAAATATGACACATAGGATCAGCCTCCTATCATAACCGTTTATTATACACGGTTTGAAGGAGTGTAAGTGTTCAATTGGCAAAATGATAAGTTTGGGGACCGGCATAACCAAGTGGCACAAGTATAAATGTCATTTAGGCTATTCTTCCTTCCGTCTATAATGGACTAAACTAGCTACAACTAAGAGGTATATATGCAACTTAATTAGCCAAATTAAAAGATTTTGATATCCTTGAATTCATAAACAGGATTTGGCGGTTGTGCTTTCACTCATCACTTGATCAGTTACAAACATAATTAATAATTTCCCATTATTACAAAAAAAACTTTTGAACTTTTTTGCCTGAAATTCAGTGAGACTATAGAACTTATCTCTATAAATATATAGTGACTGATCTTCACTCTTTTACATCATAGAAAGTGAGAAGAAAGTTTGACACTCACAACATTACCACATAAAGTTTAAAGAGTTTAGGCATTCAATGGCTCACTCATTTCAGGCTTTTCCCATTCTCATCCTTTATCTTCTCCTTGCATTCTCTAACACTGGTATACTTTCTTTGCACCCTATGAACTTTGGTTTTCTCCCTTCTATTGTTTATGAGATGATCCAGCTTTTCTTTTCTCATTCTCTGCTTGTCATATATAGCTCCATGCTTGTAAAGTTCAAATAGCAGTGGTTCAACTTATTTATTTCCATTTGAAAAATTAAAAACCATAAATTGATCCTCAAATATATTGCTTTAATTAGTTCTTTATATATCTACAGGTGGAACTCTAAAACCAGCGAATGCACAAGCATCTGGACAGGTAACCTTCTCCGTTAATTAAGTATTTAGGAGTTGGACAATATTTTGTTGAAACCGAAGACGAAAAAAAAAAGTTGTAAAAGTTGGAGTAGAAAGAAGAGTATGTGGGAGCTGTGTGTTGGTATGAATTTTACGTAAAAAATAAATTGTGAGTGAAACTAATTATATATGTCAGTTTGAAATACTCATGAAACAAGATTTTCAATATTTCGCGTATAAATTCCGGAACTATGGACCTAGCTGAATCGGAGAGCTCCGGAGTCCCACGGGTATACGTTAGGTACCATAAGGAATTTTCAAAAACTTCAAAGCTGAAACACTAATAGCCAAACTTCAACAATAACTTCAATATTTGCAAGTCATGGCCAAACTTGTTTGAAGTAAAGTCTTGTATTTGAGCCAAAAACAAGAAGAGTAATAAGTTAAGAATGAATATGCAGTGGTGCGTGCCAAGACCTTCAGCTACAGAAGCGCAACTGCTAGATAGTATCCAGTTTGTGTGTGGTGAAAAAGGGTTGCCTGGCTGCTCTTTAATTCAAGCTGGTGGCTCCTGCTTTTACCCAGATACTACAATCAACCATGCCTCTGTTGTAATGAATCTGTGGTACCAGCTAGAAGGAAGACAAACCGTATCGTGTTGGTTCAAAAACACTGCTCTCATCACCATTACTGATCCAAGTAACTTGTTTTTCTTCTTCTTTTCAATTACAGCACGAGTTTTCTTTGTGTTTTTTATTAATTTCTTCTTATCATATTATGTGTTGCAGGCTATGGCAATTGCCAATTTGTCTTTGGTCAGTAGATGGAAGCTGAAGCAGCATTTGTGAATTTAATTATAGCAACCTCGTCCCATTTTGAATATCGTCATCTTTACTTTTCCTATTTTTCTTTCCTTTTACTCGGTTTCTGAATATTTTCTTCACCTTTTTTCCGACACATAATAGCTGGCCCAAGTATGAAAATTTTACCACGTTTTGACATAGTTGAATCCTAAAATATTGTGTAATTTGTAATTCGTAAAAGCAGTCTGTTTAAGAAGACTTACAAGTCTTATGAATATAAGAGAAGAGAATGATCGATTATATAGTCCTAAGGCATACTCCACATTTTCCACTTCATGTAACTCTGTAACTTTCTCTTTTCACTACGATATCCTAGTTTGCAAATATATACTTAATTTTTTTTTCAAAAAACATGAAGAATATATATCCGAATTAAAATATGCGCTTTAAGCTCTTTATAACATAAAATGAGTAGAAAAGTTTGCTGTTGTTCTCCAGAAAAGATATAAAGAGAAATAAAGGACGAAGAGGGGGAAAACGTCTTAATTCAAAATTAGTACTCCCTTCGTTCCAATTTATGTGAACATGTTTGACTGGGCACGGAAGTTAAGAAAAAATAAAACTTTTGAAATTTGTGGTCCTAAACAAGTCAAGAAGGATCCCAGAATATTTGGGTGATTATAAAAGCTTCTCATTAAGGCTAGGCTAGAATTGTAAGTTTAAGCTAAATTGTTATTGTTTCCAAATTTAGAGAGGGTCATTCTTTTTGAACGGATTAAAAAAGAAGAAGGTTCACATAAACTGGAACAGAGGAAGTACATTTTATTTTAAAAAGGTAAAATTAGAAAATATAAATCTCTGAGGGCCTAATCATATAGGCCAAAGCAAATCCAAGGGATTAAAGTGGTGTACTTTACAGCAAACCACTAGCAAAGTGGAGCAGCAGAAATGGCAAAGGCAGACCCAGACAGGATCATACTACCATTAACACATAATCCCAATGTCTCATGATTCCCAACAGACAAAAGTAATAAAGACCAAAGCATGCAAAGATTAAAATAAAAAGGGCACTCAACACGCTAAAGATTCTGCCATAACACGCTTGCATAAAGTGTAATCATCACCCCATTATCTATTAAACAAATCATTTCTCTTAAACCATCAGTCGTACTAAAACAATAACAAATAGCTCCAATATAGATTAAAGTTTCAGAAAGTGGACATATTGGAGAATTATTCAAATACCATAATAAAGTTTGCAACTAGTGGAAACAGGCTAGAAAGAGAAATTAGATAAGAGCAGCTAGCTACTACAGCAGACTGTTAAACGACTTCTCGTCCTATCATCGGACAAAGGACCATATTCTGCGATACCTTCCCTCCGAAGCAGCAGTGTGAAACAAAGGACCATATACTAAGTTACCTTACCTCTAAAGCAGAAACTGAACAATACTGCGTAGCAAACAACGCATAAGTTCTCCACATAGGCAACAGATATAACTAGAGTTCATAACAACGTCTAGAAAGACTGAATTGGAGCAAAGTTACCCATAGCACACAGGAGATCAAGCAAATGTCTTCAAATTTTCAACTCCAAGCTTCTGCACTTCCACCTTGAGTGACTTGAGGTATCTCACAGCTTCATCAAGAACACTGACAGTATTCATCCTGCTGGAACCAGGGACAATTCCCTTTAATGCCTTAACCATCTTCTTAAGTTTCCGGCGTTTTTTCTCACTGCAATTGCTAGTACTGCCAGAGGACTTCCTGAAAGAAGTGGTCCTGCTCTTTTTGGATTGACAATCATAGTTAGAGTATGATTCAGGGGAACTGTTTCCATAGTTTGCATCGGTGCGTGCAGTGCTCACCTCTTCATCATCATATTCCTCATGTTCTTCCTCTTCAAAGCTGAGTAATGCATTTATATCGGCTGAATCTTCCTTCAGATATGAAGAAACTTCTGTATTCTCATTATTTGCAACTTTTCTCTCCATGCTGTCTTGGAAGTAAGTTGCATTAAAATTCAAATCAGGATATGGAAACTTGGAAGCCATGGCAGGGTGGAACATGATCTGGCTTCGATAATCAGTCTGATCAAAGATGATGAAATTCTTTGGACATGCCTCAGAGGACTGAAATTCGAAACCATGAACAGGCACAGAAGGGTTGAAACCAGTAGGAAGTGCCATTGTACCGAAGACTGATGGAGAAGGAATATCCAATAGATTACCACCGCCTGCTTGGTCTTCAGGAGAGAAAAAAGGCTTTTGAGGGGAAAATTGATAGTTACTCTGCATGAGTACTATGACAAAAGAACCAAGTAAACTGGAATAGAAATGCGTTTTCCAATTGGAAAATCTTAAATATCAAAATGTCTAAGAGTTATGAAAGGCAAAGACGAAACAAAGAAAAGTATTCAAGCTGTATTCGTGTAGTAAAAATGCACTGACAGTTCCAATCAGCATTCAGTGCTTAATGAGGTCATTCTGATTTCTAATACACTGAAGAAAACCAGCCAATCCAGGCTTTTGCTGAATAAGAGCAACAAGAAGCAAGCAAATCCCAAACCTCCCCAAGCTTTCACTTGACCAGACTACGTTACAGGTTTAAGCAACTGACGGAAATATTCAGCCTGTAATTTAAAAGAAACCAAAAACCAAATCATTCAGTTGCCACAAATTTGGAGTAGAAACTTCAAAAGTGAACCAAAATAAAATGAAACAAGGACACCTAGCAAATAATCCAAATTTTCCCTTTTCTTGAGATCGAATGGAACCACCACACAGAAGTGGATGGAAGGAGCATATATACAAGGGATACAAAAGTTAAATCTCAATACATTTCTGCTACGAGGTCACTGTATGAATCTCAATATACCTATGGAATATACAGAAATACAGTACATTGAGGATGTACAATGTTCTGTACTGTACCTCAGTGATCCAGTCAATATTGGTAAAAAAAGAGGCAATATCATTAAACTTTTTTTTCTAAGGGAATAAACTAAGGGGTCGTTTGGTATGAGGTATAAGAAGGTATAGTGCTGGTATAAAAATTTAACACCACCTTAATACTTCGTTTTGTTAGCAAACGAGGTATAAGTTATCCCAGGATTAAAACTAACACCGGGATAACTTATACCTTATAGAGGGTGGGGTAATTAGCACCGGTATAACTTATACATTCTTCTTACAAATTATGCAATTGTCATATTTAATACAACATACCAAACAATAGATAAAAAACAATCCCAGCATAACTAATCCCAGCATAACTTTTACCAGTATAACTTATCCCACGCCGTATTCAAACTAAACGACCCCTAAGTCTTTATAAATCATGTGAGTGAGAGATCATGAACCCAGCGAAAATTACCGGTCAAAACAAACAGAACACCGAAACACGAAAAAGCATCTATCTAGTTCTAGTTGATTTGGTTTCTATCTCCTTTTAACATAAACATTACAGGAGAGTGAATACCAACCTCAATCGAAAAAGACTGATAAGTTCAAGTTAAAAGAACAATTACCTGACAAACTAGCATCAATTGGCAATAAGCAACACTCCCTGCATGCATTTTAATCTCACCAGCTTTCTTGACTGCTCTGTATCTCTTCAAGGTAAATGCAATGTACATTCTCACCCTCCAAATGGACTTTAGTTTCAAGAAATATCACAGATGGAAAATAGATATCTGCAATCCGTCATATCAAACAAGCAAAAATTAGTTAAACATTAAGGAACTTCGGAAAATAAAAGAACAGCTTATTTTCTCACCATTGAAAGATAATAAGTTCATCGCCAGAACTACACTAGAGGAATACGGATTTTAATTTCCATTTCTCTAATGCCAAACCAACTCAAATTATCTTCCACTATAATTTTTGAGTCGTAGTCAGTTTTCCTATATCTTTTATATTACTGTTCTCTTCAGTAAATCCTCAGCAGATATAGTTCAACCGAAATAATTACATATTTACAAATAAAACTTAGGACTTGCATGAAGAAGTAGATACAGAATTAGGACGTAACAAGATGCTATATCTCACCAAGTAAAATCGGTTACAGAATCACGCGAAAGAATACCACCAAGCGCACACACTTCACACAATAACTCAAAGAAGAAAACGCCCACGGCATGTTGTTCAGTCCAGCTCAGTATATTATAGTCTTCAATCCAAGCCACTGTCACAGTAGCAAGCACAGCTCCAAAAATCAAAATAAGCCCACAAATAGCTCATCTTTAATGATAGATTTGAATCAAAAGTAAAAACCATAGAAGAAAGAGAATCACTTAAGAAATTAACTAGAACATATAAGCTTCCTTCAAGAAGAAACTCATCAAATTAGAACTACAAGGAGAAGCTAATATTTGTAAGACTAAGGCTAGCATATAATTCCTTAATACCAATAAGTTTCTCAATTAACATGTTTATACCAATGAGACTCAACGCTAAAAGAGCAAAGAAAACTAAAAACTCTATTTCCACCAAATCATAAATACTAATAAAATCACTAAAATGATGCAATTGCTCAGGGAAGGAGGTCAGACCTGCATAAACACATACAAAGATCCAAACAAATTAATACACTCACAAGGATCAGAAACAATATAAGCATAAGAGCACAATAATCCAACACAAAATACATACTAAATCTGAAAAAGCAAGAAGAAACCCTCAGAAATTACCTTTTTTTTCTTCTTCACTGACCCAACAAGAAGGTTAACCATAAAAAGTAGACAAAAAACAAAAATACCAATATAATATCAAACAGACAATAGCCCCAAATAACTAACACAATCTACATCAAACCAAGCAATTCACAAAACCCATCAAGACTAAAGTAACAAGGCTAAAAAAGAATGAAGTTTGAACATTACCCAAATGAAGAAAATATCAAAAGATCTTTGAAACCCAAATCTTTACTAGATTTTCTCTGCAATAGGAAAAAGTTTCTGGAGAGGGAGGTAATGTCTCTGATTTGTGTGTGTGTGTATGTGTGTGTGTGGAGTGATGAATATGTTGAAGAAGAGGCTCGTGGTTTGGTATTGGGATATGTGAGTGAAGGGTCAGGGCCTCAGGGGGGTATAGAGTAGGGGGGGTGTAGAGACAGGAAAGAGTCAAAGGCGGAAAATGTGAGCCGTTGATTGAAGAGAGAGAAAAGTTTTCCGTGTAATGCGGGTGAGTTAGTGAGCGTTGGATGAGAATAGAAGAGCACGCGTGATAGCTAAAGTGGGCCTCACGAGGTTTGACAAAAATGGGCGCATCTTACCATATCCGCTGCATTTTTATTTTATATTTTTATATAAATAGGAGTAATAAATATGCTTTGTTTTTCTCACCCTCACCACCCCCCCCCCTTCAATTTTTAATTTATTTCACTTTAATTACGGATTGGGAATAGTGAAACAAGAGTCAAGCCTAGTGGTGTATTGTTAATTTAATTAATGTTGGTCCACCAATTTTTTTATTTCAAAAAAAATACCCAATTGTTCCTATGAATTTTTTCAAATCTTATTGACATCTTTTTTGCATTTTGGACCTTTTCATACGTGGAGCTTTCAACCAAAGCAGAACGTCTTTTTCCTTTCCTTTTTTCAAGTTTTACCTAATGGTGAGAATAAGAAAAGGAAAGGAATGTGGAAAAATGTTGTTCACGCGAAAAAGATTAAGGAAAATAAAGATAAATGAAAATAGTTCTCTTCTTTGCACGCCATTAATTTCTTCTTATGTCGTTAAAATTAAGTATTATTCGTTATATTGTTGGGAAAAAAGGCTAATAGCCCGTTTGGCCAAGCTTCTAAAATCAGCTTATTTTGAGAAGTGTTTTTCTCAAAAGCAAAGTGCTTTTGGTGAGAAATAGTTTGTGTTTGGCTAATTAATTAGAAAAGCATTTTTGAGCAGTAATTAGTGTTTGGCCAAGCTTTTGAAAATTGCTTCTAAGTGTATTTTTCTCAAAAGTGCTTCTCAGAAAAGTGCTTTTGGAGAGAAACTACTTTTTTCTGCTTCTCCAAAACTGCTTCTGCTTCTCCTCAAAAGCACTTTTTTTCCTTCCAAAAGCTTGGCCAAACACCTCAAATTTTGGCCAAAAATTCTTTTGACCAAAAAAAGCACTTTTGGCCCAAAAAAAAAGCTTGGCCAAACAGGCTATAAGAATAATTTTAATACGTATAGCATATATCATCTTCAGGTTCCGGTACGTGGTACTTTGTGTAGCCATTATATATGCTCCCTTGAGTCTTCAACTGGGTTAGGGTTACATTTGAAATATCTTATTAGCACTACTTAAAAAAGTAATGTGTACTCTTAGCCTGTTTGGCCAAGCTTTTTCAATCCTAGAAGCACTTTTTTTTCAAAAAAAAATGCTTTTTTTCCAAGCTGAAGTGTTTGGCCAAGTTTTTGGGAGGAAAAATGCTTTTGAGGAGAAGCATAACCAGTTATGGAGAAGCAGAAAAAAGTAGTTTCTCCCCAAAAGTATTTTTTTGAAAAACAACATACACTTAGAAACAGTTTTTAAAAACTTGGACAAACAATAATTATTGTTCGGAATGCTTTTCAAATTAATTTGCCAAACACAAACTACTTCTCACCAAAAATAATTTTAAGAAGAATACTTTTGAGGAAAAACACTTCAAAAAATAAACTGATTTTTGCAGTAATTGGTCAAACAGTGCTATTAGTCTTGATTCCGATTTCCATTTTCAAAGTGAGCCAAAGTCCTCTTCGATTCCCACCATATGATATTTGTAAAGATGTATAACCAAGGAAACAATAGAAAGAACAATAGCCATGCGTGGAAAATTATAAGTAAAACTCATGCACATTTGGGTGATACCTTAAATGTGTTTCGTTGAGTATTTGTAAACCTTGTTTTTTTTTTAGGGAGTTGGTTCTTTGACATTCTCTTCTTCTCGAAACTATTATGCCAAGGATATACTCTCTTTATTGCGTTTTTTTTCTTTCTTTGTTTTATGTTTTCGTCGCTTAATTATATTATACATATATGTAGATTTGTAGAGGGTATTATCTTTTTTGTATTATGCATAGTGATATATATCACTATTTTTTCCATTTAGATTATGAAAATTGCGTAAGACAACGCGTGGAAACTATTTGTTGTTCTTTCATTTTCATAAGGAATTTTTCTCTGCATGCATGATCGAGGCGTGACAGAACTATTTAATTGCCTCTTCTTTTTCTTTTCTTTTTTGATTTTCTTTTGCTATATATAAAAAGAGTTTGAATACTTTCTTCTAACTTTCGTTTTGTTAATTCATACGAGGAAAGAAGATAAGCAAGTTATCATGCGGACAAAACATTCTATTGCAAGATATTACACGAGATGACATAAACATCGGTGTTGTAAGAAAGAAGATAGTCTTCTTAATTATTTAACATGTAAAATTATGATGAGTTAATATCCCACGCTTGAATAAGATAGACTGAAGAATGAACGTAGGGATGCAACTTGTACTTCACAACTAACAAACATTCTGTTATCAAACTAGTTTTTGTTATTTTAGAAGTAATTGACAAATAATTAATCATTTAATCATCCCACGCCAACCTATAGAATCTATATTAAGAGATATGAGTTGTACTTTGCAACTAACATGCATGCATGTAGAATTAAGAAATTAAGTTTCTCAAGTTCATATACATTCTTTTATTTGGTTAATCTTAGGTTAATTTGTCCAATCAATGATGTTATATGGATGTAGCCAAAACTAATAATATATGAGCAACATGGTTTAGGTTCATGAATATAATTTTCATAACATACATATGCATTACTATATATTTAGAATTTTATATTTGTTCTTTTCTTAATCCGACTTGTCCAATTATCTATTACTCATTGCTTCATCATGGTATTACTTGTAATATATGATGCCATGGATATATAAAATTCAAGTAATTTGTGTAATGTATTTATCTCGCTAGCCACTTGTGTTTGTATGTTTTCGAATTTGTCTAGGATGTTATACTGTTCGCAACTAATCTGTTAATTAGTTATAACTTCTTAGGCAACTAAAATTTTGAATATATAAAGGAAATAAAGTCATTACATTCTTGTCAATCATTATTTCTTTAAAAATTCTTTTTATGTATTGAAAAAACCACCAGCTTTGTTATTATTGCTAGGGGTGTGCATTCGAATCGGTTTATCGATAAATCGAATCGATTATTTGTTATCGAAATCGAAATCGAAAAAATCGAAACCTTATTGAAACGATAACGATAAGCATATGTACAAATCGATAATCGATAAGTAGTTATCGATAAGGGTCAAAATCGAATCGATAAATCGAATGCACACCCCTAGACTGTAGACACTTGTTAAATGAGTAATTACCTATTTGTGTAGATTAATATAACATACAGAATATATATATATATATATATATATATATATATATATATATATATATATATATATATATATATATATATATAT